TTATGCAATACTGTAAATACTTATTTTTATACATACATTAATTTAAATTAATTTAATATGTTGTACTCGGCTAATAATTTAATTAGTGGGTTAGCTTTGCTAATTTCTGAAAATTTTATTTAACAAAATACTGTAGTTGTTAATAACTGACTAATATACTTGAAATGATTAAAAATCATTTACAGACAACATATTTTTATTTTATTTTAATAATAAAGTTTTGTCTACCTGAAAGTAAAGTGCTCTCTATCTTATTTTATGCCATGATGTAATCATATTTATGCCTATTAAAAATAAAAGTGAACTTATATACTGTGTTTATGTATTTTTACTAATAGAGATGCACTGGCTTGCACAAACATAGTACTGCAGGACGGTGGCTTGACCAATAAAAACAATAAATGTATATTATATTCTTGAATTAGTACTGTTTTCTGTGATTGGTTTGTTTTAATATTTCACAAAGTTGTCGCTATGGTGATTTCAACAAAGATGACCATTCAGATGCTATGTGTTCATGAGGTAGAAATTCTTGAGGAATATCTTGGAATAGATGGAGTCTGTGGCTGCGAAAGTGGATGAAGAGAAACTAGTTACTGACGTCTGCCATCATCATCGCACAGCTATGCCCATATAGTCATCATGACCATATTTAGGCATGTGACATCACATTTGACAAAATATTTCCCAATAGTAAATGACTTGAACTAGTAGTAATGAGTTTAAGGAAAGGCAGCTGAAATTAATTGAAATAAAGCCTTGTCCATTTTATTTGACAAACATAAGACATGCCTAAATACGGTCATCATCATAATAATAATAACAATAATAATAATAGTAATTCTTTATTGGTCCTCATTCAAATTGGAAGTCGGAAATTCCGGCATGGCCCACTGCAATGCAGCGCCACCCAAACTCAACATAACAGACCAGACGGATACAAACATTGTCCTTAACCGGCCTAACTTAATTATGAGGGTTATTCGAGGAGCCAAGTGTTCTTACTACCAATTGAATTAAAACCCAAATGCTGGCCAGGTTTGAACCTGGGTCTTAAGCACGAGAAGCAGGAACAATACCTCTCAGCCCACCATATGGTCATGATGACATCACATCATGACCATATATAGGCCCATCTTCACCATATATAGGCATAAACAAGTTTTTTGTCAAAGAAAATTTGATAATCTGGACAAAGCTTTACACACAATATAACATCAAAGCAAATAATTTGCGATAAAATTTATCAGAATTTTAGAATATGTGACTCACAAATCAGGTGTGTCGTACATTCCCGGTGGAGCTGGATACAGAGCCTCGTAGGTCCTACCACTCCCAACACCATTGATAGCGAAAGCATGGAATTTATGAGGGCCTGGAGGTATGTAGGATAATGGAATGAAGGCCTGGCCTGTCCATGTGTTGTTACTGTCTATCTCAGACGAGCAAGTCAGGGGTAGCTTCAGTGCCGTATCTAGGGACGGACGCCCCTCCAAAAATTACTCACGCCCTAAGTCTGCCCCCCTCCCCCAAAAGAAAAACCATCACGGTCAAGTAGTTAACATAACCTAAAATCATCTTACTTTGTGAATCTGCTCTCCTCAACTGATCATCAAACACACCCCCCTCCCCCACCTCATCAGCGCCCCCATATCAAGACTTCTAGATACGCCACTGGGTAGCTTGTCCTGTAGTGATGAAGAAACGTTGCATTCCATATAAAACACTACAGGTGACACTGAGGTGAATGTTGTACCCATGTTTGAGAAAGGGTGATGCTTTTGCAGGGGAGGGGAATGTGCATTTATCTTCATTAGCTCTAACAATGATCTTGAATTTAAAACATTTTTTCAGAATATTTAACTTACTTACAGTTTGCCCTCCAATTCGAGACCAGATTTGGGACCTTAAAATTTGGGGTGGCCTCCAGTTAGTGTTGGCTTTGTGTTAATATATTGTTTATTATTGCAATATATTTTATTTTGGTTCTTTGGAAATGTGGTAGAATTAGAAGGGTCGGCAATTGGAGGGTGCAATGTACTGTATTTATCATTCTTCCTTTCAAATGCCAGGACTGCCATTGAACATCAGCCCCAAATGACATATATGCCTACAACAAATAAGACAAATGCTTTTATCTTTTCCACTGTGTTGTGC